TTAATCACTGCATATTCCCTCACATTAATGATCAGTAAAAACTTACTGACACCAATATTATCAATACTATAAAAATATACTTATTAGATAATGCTCCTTTCATTAAAACATTAATTCGGGGCAATTTTCTTGGAAATTTTCTTACATTAAGTAATTGACGCGAGCAGTAATTGTAACATTTTTTGTAACTATTTTTTTTTTGAAAACAAGTGTACAAAGTACGTGAAAGAAACAAAATCGTAAAGGAAAAGCAATGGTGCGATATATGCCTACTACACAAAAGTGAATTACCATGTTATTCCTCTTATAGATGTGCAGAATGTGGTGGACAACACCATTCATTACTACACATGTCAGAAGGTCAGTATGATAACAGAAGGAATTCTGAAAACAAAAGGCCATAAATAACTAAATTCTAGGGGTCAGAAGGTTAGTGTGATAACAGAAGGAATTCTGAAAACAGGTCACAAAATAGACCAAATTCTAGTGGGTTAGAAGGTAACAGAAGGTCGCAAAATAGACCAAATTCTAGTGGGACCAGAACTCACCATTGATGAGCATTGTTTGACCAAGGCTCGCAGTAATCATTCATTACGTAGCCTGCCGCTACAAGTCTCGGAATAAAAAGAAAAGCTGTCCACGCTCAGATATCTGGAATTGGTAATGAAGACCAAAGTACGTCGAAATGGAACGTGACATTAAACTTAGAGGCGCATTTCAAAAATGAAGTTGAAATGAAGACCGAAATAATTGCACTACGAAAAATAACAAAAAATCTACCGGAGAAAGAGATACAGATAAAAGAAAGGAACCATAGAAACTTAGCCCTGGCGTATCCCAATTTTAATAAAACAGGTTCATAGATATTCTATTAGGAGCCAAGGAATATAGTTTGATAATATTTTACGGAGTAGATTGAACTAAGGATGGTTTGCTCACCCAAAATACAAAATTGGGTTATATAATGTCAGGATAGCACAGCAAGAGAATATCTATAATATACAAGTACTCGGCATGATATCTAGACGACAATGGATGAAGAAATAAAAAATTAGAAGAGTTAGAAGAAGTAGATCAAGCAATACTTCTTCAGTAAAAGGCAAAGAGTGTGAAGAATATTATAAAAGAACCGTAAACAGGGATAACGAAGGAAGATTTCAATTTAAAATACCCCTCAATTCTAATACAAGCCTATTAGGGGACTCAAAACTGCAAGTATATGCGGGACTGCTGCAATTAGAGAAAAAATTTCAGACACAAACCTATAAAAAGAGAAAGTGGTGATAATAAAGGAGGATGACACCTCTCCGGGGAAATGGCCACTAACGAAAATAATCGATACACATCCCAGAGCTAAAGTTTTAACAAAAGTCACAACAATTAAAAAGGCGGACAGAAAAATAACTACTCCTCCTATACACAAGTTAATACCAATAGTACGAGAGCCCACCTCACGAAAGACAAATAGAGCACGTAGTATGTGGAGAAAATTCATGTTGTGCATCCTATTTTTCAAGCCATAAAATGGAGATTTGTACAAAATTTATACCGCATCCTCCGGATTATATTCAGAGCATCTAAGCGATGTATATAGATCGAGGGATATTTAGAATAAAAACTCATCTAGAAAAGAAAAAAAAATGGATGATGAATGAAAGATATATTCAATGGTAAAAACGCTTGAAGATATGTGTTCTTCTTCTTATGGTGCCTATCCGTTATGGATGTTGATCACTAACACGGCTATTTTGACTTTGTTGATTGCTGCCATGAACAGTTCGATTAGAGAAAGATATGTGTAAGACAAGAATTATATTACATTGTGATTCACTATCGAGCCAGAAAAAAAGAGGAACAAAAACGAGCAAAAATGGTAAGCCGAACATTAGATCTGGAAGTTAAAATAAGGCCGAAGAGGAGTCTTCTAGGAACAGTCCTCACATCAGTATTTGGGATAAATGATGAAGTATATAGGGACATAGATTCCTTGAACGAAAATCAGAAGCATCTAATAAAAAATTCAAAACATCAGACAAAGCTGATGTTACAAACAATAGCCTCGATTAACTCTACAGAAGAAAGAATAAACGGACATTTAAATAGGTTCCGTGAAGCACTGATAAACAAAACTAAGGAAATGTGTAAAGGCCTAAGTGATGTCTCATATAGAGCTGAAACATTAGAGAAAGAGTACATACGACTTAAAATGGAAACGACTTATAACCGTGCAATGGAATATGCAAAAGAATATGCGAACACATACTAAAAGATATTAAATCTTCATTATAATCATGGACACTTCAAATATATTATAAAACCCGGACAAATAGAGTCATTCATTTCGAATGACTCAAATTGTATTTAAAAAATTGATTTTGCGCATGTAACTGAAATTCAAAATCACCGGACGCTCCAAGCGTTTTTTCTAAGAGAACAGTTCTACAGAAAAAGTGTTAATATATATTTTTGTTCAACATTATCTCAGCTGCATTTCTTTCTTGAAACATTTTTTCAACGATGTACAGATTCTTGGAAATTCGATGTTTTCAATTGTCTCCCCCTCCGAGGGAAGTTTTAGGGGAAGCCCTGGGGTACCAGTGACAAACTTTTTTGCATCTTTTTTGAAGCCGCAAAATTGATAACCTCAGCAAAATTCGGCTTGTTGGTATGAATTTTAGAGGTTCAGTGGCATTTTTGTCTCTGACGACTGTAGTGGTTCACGATGAACACTACTTATTAGATTAAATAATATGCTTATATTATAATTAGGCAGTAGAAAGTACAAACTCAAATAAAAAACTCTTTGAATTTTTGTAAGGTAGTGTAATTAAACAATACTTAAAAAAGAACATTTTAAACAATAAATAATATTAAGTTAACAGTAAGTTAAAAATCCGATGTTTACTTGAATTATTTCATTTTTCCTTTTGAATTTTATACTAAAACAGAAAATTTTTATTATTATTTATATTACTACTGCATCACTATTTTACTACTATTATTACGTGCTAATAAATAAATTGGATAAAACATAGACATCAATCCACAAACATCAATCTCCCACTCAATCTCAAATCAAAGACTCAAGACTCTCATCAGACGAAAGCTTTTTTTCCTTACATATAAGATGCCACTGACAAAATCGACAAAATTCTAAAATCAAGAGGAATAAAAACAATATTTACCCTCCAACAAAAACTTGTGAGATTCGTTAAAGTGCAGAGACTTAAATGGGCTAGACACATTGCTAGGATGTCAGATCACGAATAAACGAAGAGATTAACATAGAGAGCACAGGAAGTGGAGGACGACCACGAAGGAGATGGATTGATGATGTGGAAGAAGATCTACAGATTCTAAGGGTTAGAAGATGGAGAGAAGTTGTCAAGAATCGAAAGGAGAGCCACTTATGGTGATGATTCATTAATAGTTAAAATTATTTTATATTTTTTTACAATACAGATGCAATATTTCTTTATATTTTCGTACTCAAAAATCTGTTAAAAATTCAATAGTATTACACTTACCAATATTAAAATAGACACAGAAAACAAAATTGACTAATTTTATGAAAAATTGCATAAAATGTACTTCTTCTTCTTCTCTTCTCCTTATACTTCTTGGAGATCTTTCGATCTGTTTAATCCTGAAGCTGCCTGTGGTTAATTTCCTGGGAGGTAGATTGCCAACTATCCTTCCATGTTCTAGTTGGTCTTCCAAGAGGTCTTAAACCGGGTGGGTTTTTTTCTAGGCAATTTTTGGGAGTTTATTCTCATCCATTCGTCTTACGTGATTATACCACATCCTCTTACGCTGCCTTCCCCATCTTACAATATCTTGAATTTTGCACTGCTCTCTAACGTTTTTTATTTCTCACCCTGTCTCTTCTTGTTCTGCCCACTATTGTTCTTAGGATTTTCATTTCGGCAACCCTTAGCATATGTCTCGTTTTGTTGGTATATTCGCGCACTTCTATGCCATATGTAATGATCGGTCGTATGCAAGTCTTGTATATTCTAATTTTACTATCTGTGCGCATATATGGATATGACCAGACGATCTTGAGCAGACATCCTGACAATGCTGATGATTTGTTGATCTGACTCCTTAGGTCCTTTACTGGGTCGTGTGTGCTTGATACAACTATGCCCAGATATCTGAACTGCATCACCTGTTCTATGGGGTTGTCCTCAACCACTAACTTACATCTGAACGGATATTTTGCTATTGTCATACATTTAGTTTTGGTGGTTGAAATGGTCACATTTAGTTGGCGGCATATTTGAAAGAACTGAAAGAGCTGTCTCTGAAGATCATCTTCTGATTCGGCAATAATTGCTGCATCATCTGCGTAACACACCATACCAATTCTTTTGTTGACCATTCTGTATCCGAGATTGAGAGATGTTACTTTGTTTATAATTTTGCCCATTAGTAGGTTAAACAAGAAGCCTTGTCGCCTTCGTTGGTCGGTATTTTATTTTTATTAATATATTTAGAATGTCTCCCAGGCGAACTCTGTCAATCGCCTTCGTCAGATCAATGAAGCAAATATATGCTGGCATGCTGAACTCTATATCTTTTTCTTTTATTTGTTTTATTATGAACACTGGATCTGTTATAGACCGCGCTCTTGTAAAACCTTGTTCTTCAGCATGAGTGATTTGCCTTTCCAATTTATCCTTAAGAATACTCGTGAATAGTTGTCTTTAAGAGCGTTATTCCTCTGTAGTTTTGTGGGCAAGTTTTCTAAATGTAAACTAAATTACGTTAAAAAATTACTAAATTACCGAAAAATCGTAGAATTTATTAAATTAGTGGGATGTATACCGGTGGTTGAAAGAGTTATGTAATGGGTCGGAATAGGAGAAAGAAACAAACGTGGAAAAATATTAAACTAATTCATTCTTTTTATACTTACACACATTGATAAAACAACACACTACATAGATACGCTTGCCATAAGTCATTAACAAATTATCCAAAAAAAAAGCAAGTACCTTAGGCATAACTTTTCCGAAAAACATTTTTAACTTATTAGATTTTTTCTTTTCCTGTCCCCCTACACTACTACCAACTTGAGACGATTCCGCTTTGTTACTGACATCTTTCAATTCTATATTTTCAGATTGTTTATTACTTTTTGAGGATGCTGCTGTATCCAAATCTATGAGCGAGTCCACTTCTATAGGTTGTTCGTACCAATTGGAGTTAGTAGTGTTTTCTTCTTCGTTGGAACAGTCTGTTAGGAAATTACATTTGCAAACTGGATGGTTACATATACATTCTTTAATTCTTGTAGAGTGTCCTTCACCTGGAAATGAGTATGTTTTTGTAGATATAATTGACTAAAGAATAAATATTTGATTCGATAAAAATTTGTCTGATAAATAGAATTTTTACTATATGAACAAAAACTGACCCCCATCAACTAAAAGTTAATAGCAGAGGGAACAACACAAGTTACTATTTTTATTACAAAATATACAGTATTATAAAATAATATTTCTAACTGGGCCATTTATTATAAAGTAATAAATAAAGATCATATAAAGAAGACAAAAATGAACTTCCTGACCTTACAATTGTAGTAAACGTAGTTGCCTTTTCTTCTTTTTTTTCTCGTTTATTATAGTCTTTATTATTTATGCTGTTTTTTAAATTCCTTTACAATCACTTGGTCCATAGTGGTACCAAAATAGGAAAGTGGTATCTGAAGAATACGATATAACTTTGAGGTATATAAAAAGTACAAAGAAAAACCAGATGGCGGGGATGTAGTAACTCACAAAAAACGTGGAACAAGATGAGAAGAATATTATTAATTCTCTTAACTACACTCACCGGCAAAATTAACGGAACACCTTAAAAATGGGACATGTTAGATGACTCGAATTTCCTAAACCTGTTGTCCGATTTTAGTGATTTTTTTAGTATGTTATAGGTATATTATTTAAGAATATCAATGAAATAATATTGTTGCTAGACAGGTCAATGTCATTTTATACCGGGTGTAACAATCATACTGTGTTTTTTCCTTAAAGTTCGAAACACCCTGTGGAATATTCTAGCATATATAAAATATTGAAATTAAAGCTCAATTATAGTCTCAGGCTTTCTTAACATTTTCTTTTTTGATTCATTTGCTTGTGTTGGATAATAAAAAAGTTAGGTACGTTAACAACTAGCCATGTTTTTCATCAATAAATGCTCATTTTCTTCTTAGTTTCACCAGCATATTTAAAGGAACAACCATAAAATCTGAGTATTTTCTCTCTAGTCTATATACTGTTTAGATAATATCATAATACGAATGTTGGTGAAGTATTTTGAATTTATATTACAATGGTAGTACAATATAAAACCTGTTTAAGAAGAAATAAAACACAAAGATGTCAGACTCAACAAAATACGGATTTTAAACGCATTAACTTTATTGTACAGTTTGAACTTAAATTGGTTTTTTATGCATTTTTTGGCTTTAATAGCGTGTGTTTCCCCTACGAGCCCTTACAACTGCAGTTATTCGTCTTCTCATACTTCTGATACCGCTATCGATCAGTTGTTGGGCAGTCTCTCCCATTCCTCAATCAAAGCAATTGTGACTTCTCTCTGTTTTGAATAGCAGGAACCCGTGCCCTAAGTTTTCTGCCTAGCATGTCCCACATATCCTCTATCGGGTTTAGGTCTGGGGAACAAGCTGGCCAATTCATCGTTGTTATACCCACTTGTAATAAGAAATATCTTACACAGTCTGCGACGTGTGGGCTCGCATTATCCTGCATTAAAATAAAATTTTCGCCAATATATGGTGAAAAAGGTACCACATGGTCTTGGAGAATATCTCTGATATACTTATCTGCTGTTAATGCTCCATCATCAATCACCACTAACTCTGTTATTGCTCCCAAACATATACGCCCCACACCATAATTGAACCTCCACCAAAATGTACGGTCGTAGTAAAATTGAAAGGGGCATTTCGTTCTCCTTGGCGTTGATACAATCTTTCTCTACCGTCGATGTAATTTACACAGAAACGGCTCTCGTCCGTAAAGAGAATTTGACTCCAGTGGTTATCATTCCAATTTTGATGTACTCGACCAAATTGTAGTCGTGCTAAAGGATGGTGTCTCTGGAGTCTGGGAGCTTTTATTGGCACATATGACTTGAGACCGGCTTTTTTAAGTCTCTTTCTTACTATGCGCTCAATTAAATACAAGTTTGTACTTGTTATGAACAGACAGAATGACTGTAAAATGTAAAACACAATACAAATAAACAAATTAATTTGACATTTAAGACTTTTTGTGACAAGGAGCTTTCAAAGCTATGTAGATATAGTCTATAAAATACAAATATAAAGAAATATTGCATTAATAACAGGTTCCTTTAAATTTGCCGGTGTGTGTATTAAATTGTTAACTTCTCATAGCCTACTTTAGGCTTGTTTATTAAACTAAGCAGAAAATGAGGATTTATTGATGAAAAACATGGCTAGTTGTTAACGTACCTAACTTTTTATTATCAACCATAAGCAAATGAATCAAAAAAGAAAATGTTAAGAAAGCCTGAGGCTATAATTAAGTTTTAATTTCAATATTTGCTAGAATATTCCACAGGGTGTTCCGAACTTTAAGGAAAAAACACAGTAGGATTGTTACACCCGGTATAAAATGACATTGACCTGTCTAGCAACAATATTATTACATCGATATTCTTAAATAATATACCTATAACATACTAAAAAAATCACTAAAATCGGACAACAGGTTTAGGAAATTCGAGACATCTAACATGTCCCAATTTTAAGGTGTTCCGTTAATTTTGCCGGTGAGTGTATTTGCAACCGATGACAATAGATAAAAACGGCAGGCAAAAAAAAAACTATTGACGGTTAAAGTTAGATTAGGGATGTAGTATTAATGATAGAGATGAATAACCATAGTTTTTATTGAGTAAAAACTGGTAAAATATACACTGAATACACTAGACAATCAATTTTAACTTATATTATTTGTTTCATTTTAATTTGCTTACGTTTTGGACTGGTAGATATAGTACTCTTCTTAGTTCTGCTATACAACGGTTGCAGTTCCTCTTCTGAGGTCGAACAAAAACATTTAGAACTGTCAAGTTTGCGTTTCTTTTTTCGTTTAATCTTCTTCTTTGGCGAGTCTCGTTCTTGAACACCAACAAATTCTATACGCGTCTTTTGTTTAGCTTTGGAAATTGTCTCACCTATAAGAATTTATAGAATTCTTAGATGTTTATAGAATGAGATTTTTATAAAATATGATAAAATTAAAAATTTAGTTGTTTTTAATATTGCGGTGATTGAATGTGAACCAAAAAATGTGAAGATAGGTTAAAAGGACATTGAATCAATAAAATAAAAATGTTTACTTTGTCAATGTCTCATGAACTTGGCCATGATGATAAAATAAGGAAATATAACTAATACGTGCTATATATTATATATATATATATATATATATATATATATATTATATATATATATATTGTTCTGAAGCTATTTTCTTGTGGCATTGTATATTCATTACTATTTATAACTGGGAATAAGCCACAATTAAATATAAAAATACGTTTTATTGACGTTTCAATTTCCAATTCGGAAATCGTTCTCAAAATACAAACAGTAAATTAAATAAATTTTGTTTTTTTTTGTTACATAGTGAAAAAATTCTTCTAATAATTTAATTTTATAGTTTATTCGTCTTCCGGGTTTGGACCGTGTCATTTGTGAGTGACCCAAAAGTGGGTTCATCTCGACGTTTCGCTACAATTGTATGTAGCTTCTTCAGGAAAACAAAAAAGGAAAAAGAAAGAAAGAAAGAAAACAAAAGAACAGGAAGATGGGTAGTTAGCAACGGTAACTCAGTTACTCAACGCAACCAGAGGCGAATACTAACTACCAAGATGGGCATTTGGTCACAGTAACTCAACTACTCAACGCAGCCAGAGGTGAAAACCAAATGCCAGGACAGGGATTCACGTCCAACAGCTCAGAACACTAACGCGTCGAGAGGCGGGGAGTGAATCCTCATTTATGAATGAGGATTCATAAATGAGGATCATGAAATTTAATTTTATCTGACTCATTTATATTGACAATTCAGACATACATTATGCATTTTAAAGTAGACGACTTTAAAATGATATTGCCAATATTGTTGAGTTGCGCTCCTGGGACGACTTTACTTATAAGATAGTTTATTCGATTACATGAAATCAACTTTAACTTGAGAATATCCGTCAGAAAAAATCACAGCATGTAATTCGTCTTTAAAAAGACAAACACATGACATGATGACAGTAAAATTCTCCTGTTAGTGATTCCATAGTAAATTATGAGGGAAAAACCAGGAAAAAAACTCATAATACTATCCCGACATTGTAAGTATTTGTTCGTGAATTTAGTTTACCTTCAACAAACATAAAAAATTCTGATTTTATATGTTACGTTATTTAAAAAACATAAATGATGTATCCTTTATATGTTACTGACTTACTAATACTGGTGTTTTCTTATTAATAACTCCCTCTTTCAATATTGGTAACCAGATCCTACTACATTCTGCCGAGGAATTTGCGACACAATTGGCCTCATGCATGGGATAATGGACATAGGGTTCAATGGAATAATTCAAATATAGTCCTAAAAGAAACGGATGGTAAAAAAAGAAAAATCAAAGAAGCGGCTCTAATTATGCTAAATGAGGCCAATTGTGTCGCAAATTCCTCGGCAGAATGTAGTAGGATCTGGTTACCAATATTGAAAGAGGAAATTATTAATAAGAAAATACCAGTATTAGTAAGTCAGTAACATATAAAGGATACATCATTTATGTTTTTTAAATAACGTAACATATAAAATCAGAATTTTTTATGTTTGTTGAAGGTAAACTAAATTCACGAACAAATACTTACAATGTCGGGATAGTATTATGAGGTTTTTTTCCTGGTTTTTCCCTCATAATTTACTATGGAATCACTAACAGGAGAATTTTACTGTCATCATGTCATGTGTTTGTCTTTTTAAAGACGAATTACATGCTGTGATTTTTTCTGACGGATATTCTCAAGTTAAAGTTGATTTCATGTAATCGAATGAACTATCTTATAAGTAAAGTCGTCCCAGGAGCGCAACTCAACAATATTGGCAATATCATTTTAAAGTCGTCTACTTTAAAATGCATAATGTATGTCTGAATTGTCAATATAAATGAGTCAGATAAAATTAAATTATTAGAAGAATTTTTTCACTATGTAACAAAAAAACAAAATTTGTTTAATTTACTGTTTGTATTTTGAGAACGATTTCCGAATTGGAAATTGAAACGTCAATAAACGTATTTTTATATTTAATTGTGGCTTATTCCTAGTTATAAATAGTAATTAAGGTGCTATATAAATATAAAGGATAATATAAAAACAATATTTGAGATTATTCTTGAAATGATTTTACCTGAAATGGCAGTTCCTACATCAACTGTCTCCTTTTCAGTTGAATCCATCTCCGCATAACTTTTCTGTATAGCATCCGTATCTATAGGCAGTTCTTCCACATTGGTCAACGTTGAAGAGCACTTTGTCCTAGAAAATTTATATGTATCATCCATTTCTCCTTCACAAATACTTTCGTCTAACCTTTCAGAAGCAACGAACTCCTCGTCTGATCCTTCTCGAAAAGACTCCATGCTGGCATAGTCTGGTATGGTCTGTTTTTCAACATCTCTAGATGGTACTTCCCAAGTGTTTAATTTTTGTTCACTCTTTTGGTATTGATAGGAATACGAATAGTCTGTAGATGAAGTACTTGAGTGTCCTGAATCAGATTTCTTTTTAAAGAGAGTCAAAACTAAAAAGATAAATACAGATTTAACATATTAACTATAGAAATAGCTAGGAAAATGCTAAAGAATGGAAGGGAAGAACTAAAAAAGGATGTATAGCCTTATCAAGAGGATATGGGAAGAAGAAAATATGCCCAAAGATTATGTCAGGGTTTATTATGCCCCATATACAATGTATCATTGGACCAAAGAAAATAGTACCTTCCTCATCACCAACTTCATCTGATTCTTCAATTTCTTCTTCAGACAAAAGACTGACTCTTTCTTCGTCACCATTAAAATCTTTTGATGGAATTCTATCCATTTCTAGTGATTTCTTGAGCAAAGACTCGTCTTCATTTAAATTTTGAGATCTCTGTAAACTCAGTTTGGACAAAAAGACAGTCGACGTTGTATCTTTTGAACTAACACGAAGCAGAGGTGTTGTATCATCGTGTCTGCTTCGTTTTCTTGAACAAATATTGAATAAAGACCTACAAGAGCTTTTCGACTTAGATTTTTTATCTTTAGTTGGTTTTTGCTGCAATACAGTTCTTTCTTCTTCTGATGAATCTCTGAAATTTATGATTTACCACTTTGAATAAAGTACTATTTTGTGCTAAAAATAAAACATACCTTTCTTCGCTTAAGTCAGATAAATCTCCGTATTCAATTGGAGACAAACATACTGTACACAAGTTTCTTAAATCTGCAAAACATTCTGCGCAATACAGACCTAGACATTCCGGTGTTTGGCATTGTATTGGTTTCTCCGCATCAGTTTCTCGAAAAACTTTACCGCAGAGAAGACATGCTTTTTGGGGTTTATCTAAGCATATAGCGAAAATCTGAAAATATTTTAAAAGTAAAAATGTAGATCATCAGTTAGTAAATTTTAAAGTTCTTATTCAAAAGAACATCAAACAAGTTTACTTTCCTCAGAAGGATTAACATAACAAAGTATCATAATAAAGTTTTAAATATTGCAATATAAATAATTTCTAAAACATTTCTATAAGGTTGTCATTTTTCCAATTGTGTCTTCAGACGTTTTTGAAAAAGTGGTTTTGATTTTTTTGTACAAGTATAGGGTTTAATGTTAAAAGCAGATATACAGTGAAAGTTCGGGTGAACAATGTATTTATGAATTTCTTTCACAGGATTGGTGGTCCTCTGTCGTATTCCATAATTATCTGGTTGTTATCTCTGTCCTTATCAAATGTCTTCTCAACGTATCTCTTCCATATATTCTTTGTTTGTTTAATGTCTATTACCAGGTAACCATGAGCATCAGTCATATGTCCTGATCTCTTGGGTTTGTACATTCCTGCTGCCTCTTTTACCTTATTGTGGAGATTAAACGAGTCGTGTCTACTTTACAATGATTCTATTTCTCTGCATTTATCTTCCAACTATTTGTTTTTTTTATTTCTTATTTTCTTATTTCTTTGTCAACATGTCAATTCATTTATACTCCACATGTCTTTGTTTTTAGCTTTTCTTCTATTGTCCATTATATACTATTATAAGTAATCCACTCTTTCTTTTTAACCATTGTTGAGGGAAGATATTTATCTAGGATTGTCTGGTTAATTTGTTGTAGTTTTGCCATTTCGTTATCTGGTTCATTAGCTTTGTCTGTATTTTTTAATTCTTTTTCTAAATAGGTTTGTATCTGGTGCCTGGTGTCTTCATTTTTTAATGGTCCTAAATCGTATTTTCTTGCTTTTGCACTCTCTATCTTCTTCAGTTTTAATCTGATTTAGTCTGATAGTTAACTACCAGTGGGTTATGGTCCATCCCGATATCAGCAACAGGATATGTTTTGGCTGATGTTATTGAGTTTCTGAATCTTTTATTCACCACAATGTAATCAATTTGGTTTCTGATGATGTAATCTGGGGTGTCTTGAGTATCTTATGGTGTCTTGAGGATCAAAACCTATATGGTCTCTGGTCCTCGGACTCTTGAGAATCATAGCTTCAGTTTTCTCGGCCGCTAGCATGAGATCTCTGCTTCCCATCCACGTCTTCACTTTGTTGAGGGCTCGATTCCCTCTCTGTATGATTGACCAGTTTTCATTGTGTTCCACCAGCACCACCAGATCATCCATTATGCTATTGCCTGTACGCCGGTGCCCAGGTTAGTCTCCAAAATTTCGTTGTATAGAACATTGCAAAGCAATGGCCCCAGTACGGAGTCTTGCGGCACTCCTGCCGTGGTTCTCATAGAGTTACCTCTCGCAATGTTGATGCATCTATCTGTAAAGTAGTTCCTAACCAAATTCTGCAAATAGGAAGATATCCCCAAGTCGTAACAGTAATAGTCGTAATAACAGTACCTACCTAGATATATTTACAATTTACCTGAAATTAGCAGCAAGAAATTCTTTTAGAGTAACTTTCTCAACGTCCTTGCTACCTAAAAATTTTCGTTTAAGTTGTCTTCTGGCGAATTTTAAAAACGTATTTCTTTTCCTGAGGATGTTATTGTACAACCATATAGCGCGTTGTCTTCCTCTGAGAGGATGGTAGTAACACATGATAAACGTTCTGAATCTAAGACCATACGGTTCCAAAAGCGTTAGTACCCAGCAAAGTATTAATAGAGTTGCTAAAAGGGCAAAAATGTATTTAGATATAATTGATAACAACTATGGTTACATATTTAATTGATCTTCAAATGATTGCAAAGTAGAAGTTTAAAAAAGACGTTATGTATAAAATACTTTACCAATTTGAATGTATCTATCCAGATTAGGAGGTATAGGAGTTGGCAAACAAGGAACTGTATCTATTTCAATCTGTATACCCATCGGTTGGAATGCCTTGACTATACTCCTCAATAAATCTGCTAAAAGTCCTTGGCCACTTATATAAGGGGTTGGTATATTTGGAGCTAATAATAAATAAAATTATTAATATAAAAACAAAACCTTTTATGAAAAATGAAAATAAAAGAAATATCACAATAATATCATAAAGGACAGACATTAGGATCCTCCTCCTCCTCGTCAGTCCTAATCTATTTTGGGATGTGGTGACACCATCAGAACTCTACATACCATACAGTTTTTTCACGATTTCCCTCCATCTCCATCTCCATCCATACATCTCATTATGTCTTCCATTTTTTCTTGATTTGCCGCGATTATTAAAGTGTCATTAGCATACTTCAAGTTAGTAATTTTTTGACCTCCTAATGATATTCCGCCCTTCCATCTGTGTTCCATAATGTGTTCGCTGTAGATATTAAAAAGAGTTGGCGAGATTATGCATCCCTGCCTCTGTTCTGAAATGATCGGAATTTATGTTGTTTATTTTTGCTGTGCACTTATTATTTTCATATAGACTTCTAATTAGTTGAATTAAGTGGTAAGGTGTTCCCATTTCCGTTAGTATGGACCGTAGCCTCTGCTATTTGACTATCAAAGATCCTTGTGTAATCCACAAAGCACATAAGCATATGAGTATTGAATTCACGAGTTTTTTCGATTAGCTGTCTGACATTAAGGATGTGTTCTCTTGTGTCTTTTCCTAGGACAAATCTCGCTTGTTCTTCTGATATCCGAGGCAATAGAAAAGCTTTTAGTGTTGTATTAAATGAAGTAGAACCTTGCTTGCATGTCAGTCGTTGGGCCACTCTCCAGTTTCGCAAATCTTTTTGCAGATCATATGCATAACATTTACTTCAACATTTCCGGTCTCTTTTAAAACTTCTGCGGTGATCTGGTCTGCACCAGGAGATTTTCTATTTTTCAACTTTTTGATTGCCTTTTCTACTTCTGACTTTAGAATGTTTGGTCCTCTCTCTGCAGTGAACTCATCGTGATTTGCATTCTGGGAATCATCTGCATATAGACTTTGATAATATTTTCTCCATACCTCCGCAATCCCGTTTATAATATGTTCGTTTTGATCCATTATTGTTTGTGTGATTGGTTTAAATTCCTGGATAGATATCGAACTTTGTTATATAGCTCATGGGATTCATACCGGTTTGCATGTCTCTCTAGTTCTTCGCATTATTCATTTATATGTTTATTTTTATCATTCCTATATGCTCTTTTATTTAACCTTGCTAATACGTTTTTGTTGTCGTTTTGATATATAAGAGATTTTATTCTTCCTCGCTCTTCGAGAAGTTGCAGCGTTCTGTCGGTTATCCAGTGTTTTCTTTTGATATTCTTTTTTTTCGTTTCTGGTTCATTCTACAGAGGTTTCTATGGCATTTCTGAAACCTTTCCACATTTCTTCTGGGTTGTCTTGTGTGTTCAACATACTAGTTTTCTTTAATGCATCTCTAAATGTTTTCAGATTTGTTTTCAAATGTTTTCAAATCTCCAGCCTGTTTTGATTTGGGTGCGGCATTGTTCATTTTAGCTTCATCTTGAAGCAAGCCCATAACAATTCATGATCGGCTCCACATCAGCTCTTGGTCCAGTTTTTACGTTTGTAAAACACATCTTCCATCTATTTCTAATCAATATGTAGACATTAGGATAGAGAGACCTAAATTATATTGATTTGTTTTACTGGCGAAATCCGTATATCATACCGCCTGTATGACAAACTTGATATTATTAGGTCCATCAAAATAAACTCACTGCGGTGGTTTGGTCACATAGAGGGAATGAATGGAGCCGCTAAAACGTATTTATAACCAAAGAATAGATGGAGTGAGAAGGAGAGATAGACCCAAAGCACGATTTAAGGATCAGGTGGAGGAAGACTTGAGAATGTTAGAAGTACGAAACTGGAAAGCCAAGGCGAAGAATAGAAGACAATGAAGACTTATCCTTGAGCAGACCAAGACCTATCATGGGTTGTGGAGCCAATGATGATGATGATCTGTACATCAAGTCCTGGATAATAGAAAATAACTGTATTATAAATGTTGATAAATGAAAACGTCATTTATCCACTGCAAGGTTCTGTTCAATTATATATTTAATCTAGAAAAACATACCTTGAACTTTCGACTGAAACCTTCCGTAGTAATTAACCAAATTCAAAATCCAGTACAAGCAATAATCTATAGCCATGTATAGAGCAGCCTTCATATTGACAGAGGCTAACGTCATTACAGCTTTTTTCAATTTTTTCTTTTCGATGTCGGTCAGTTTGGACGATTTAATCTGTAATCTGGTATGAAAGTCACGGCAAAGCTTTCTAAAGAGGAGAATTTAATTTCCGACATTTCTTTGTATAATAATAACGAAACTATCAGAGGTAGCGAAAAAATTACACATAGAGTGAACCAAATGGCTGGAAACGTCTAATTATCTCTTATACGAATAGTCCAAATTATACAAAAACAGGGATCACGAAAAAAATTAATTTATTTTTAAAAAATACGCGATATATGAAATATTTTTGCAAAATATAAACTGTAGGTTCTTCCAAGAGGAATTTCCGAATTTTGAGAGGTGGTAGGGGTCATATTCATTTAAAGTATATCTGTTAAGCAAGGCTCTGAAGAACTTTCTTGTGGTGTGTTTAAGTTAAATATTATGTTTTATGGGATTAAGCCACAATTATTGGTTGTGATTTTGTGAGTTGTAATAAAAATCAAATTTTTAATTAATTACTATTTGGCGTTTCAACTTCTACTCCGGAAATCGTTCTCAAAAAAGTGTTTTTGTACAAAATTAAGTAAAAATGTGTAAGACCAAAGATTTTGTTATTGGTTATGTATGTTCGAAACAAAAAGAAAGTATGAAAGCATCCACTGTTGATGTAAAACTCGATATTGAAGCGAATAATGCTTTTCCGAAAATACCAAGGTTTATTGCATTATAATTCACGACTGCGTAATGGAGTACTTCCCTCTCACCGAAATTGTAAAAAGTCTAAATTAGATGCATTAATTGTCAGTAGTACACGAGCAGTCATTATGAGAGTAGCATTCGTAGACATTCAGGGATTCGATGTGGATGGATGGTTTGTTCCCAAAGAACTTACCATTAAAATAGGTTTTAAACGAAGTAATTACATCTTTTTGCCTCAAAAACTTTTTAATGCGCTAAGTAGTGGGAATAAGAAGACTGCATCATACGTGGAGAAAAAACTGATTGGAATTCGATACTCTGATGGACAAGTAGAATTGTACAAAATCAATGAAATATTAGAAACCAAGTTGTTGTATGCAGCAGATTACATCTACGTTCGAGGAGAACAAAAAGCAAAATATTTGGATAAGAAACGTCACATTTTTGGAGTTTTTCCCCTTATTATTGATGTTTGCAAGTTTGATGATACGCCTCATGCTACTGGAAACGTTGGTCCTACTGCAAACCCATGTCATGCCGCTAGATTATTTTCATGAACCGAAAGAAATGTGGGTCGTCTACGACACTGGTTTGCCAATAACATAATGCCTGTATAATTTTATGTATAAATAAATATATTAGAAATTAAAAAACGCTTTTTTATTTATTACATCTTTATTGATCGAGTCTTATATTACATGAAGATTCAAATTTTCTCCTTACAATTTCAAAAATAATTTTTAAAATTAAGATAAATACAGATGCTAATATTACACAAGACATTGCAAAGGCATTGTCTATTTCACTTTTCATATGCTCGCTGGTGTTGTTGTTGTTGCCAACGCCCACGGTATTGGTTGAATACATCTCGATGGATATGTAGCGGGTGGCAGTTTTCTAAATGCGAAAATCCAGGTGTCTTGCTGCTGCTGCTGTAGATTCAACTCTTTTGGTTTCCACGTTTTGTCCTCAATATGCAGGCTATCTAATTGTCTTTTAATTTGTTTTATATTCTCATATGATTCAAGGTCTTTATTTAACTGATTAAGTTTTCGTTGAAATTCCATAATCCTATGTATGTACTCAATGGAATTCATAGTACTCTGAATATGTCCTATGTTGAATGTCAGGTTTTATGTCAAGCGACATCTTAACTGACACATAACTGTTACGTCATTCCTACATTTTACGTCCTTTGTCGAATGTCACATCCTACGTCTAATGTCACGTCAATTCACGTGACATTTCACCTTCTGCGTCGAATGTCACGTCAATTCACGTGACATTACACATTTTGTGTCGAATGTCACGTCCTGCGTCGAATGTCACGTTATTCACGCGACATTTTACGTTCTGCGAAGAATGTCACGTCATTTCACGTGACATTTCACGTTCTGTGTTGGATGTCACATAACTGTCACGTCCTGCGTCGAATGTCACGTCCTACGTCAACGTTCTCTTAGCCACTGTACGGTAAAGAAGAAGAAGAATGTTCAAGCGTTGACATTGCTTCTCTGTGTGTGTGTGTGTGTGTGTGTGTGTGTGTGTGTGTGTGTGTGTGTGTGTGTGTCACCAACCCTTTGACACCTCATGCGTCAAAATCAGACCAATAGCAACAAAGATACGTTTTAACATCCATTTGGCAACGCCGTCATCTTTGTTTTTTGTCTCAACGTATTCGTTACCTTCTCCCCGTTCCAACGAGCCCTCGTACGCCCCAATCAGACCAATAGAAACGAAGATATGACGTAATGACCTTTTATCATGCTCCGTTGCGCACGGCACATATTTCATTCAACCCCATTTTTCATCCCCTTTCCAACGAGCCCTCGTATGTCATCCTACGTTAAGCCGTTTGGCATTTGCAACCGGGGGTTGCGATTTTAGGGGTTGCAATTTAGGGGTGAGCCAGGAACCGCCTAGTCTATCTACTAATGACCAACCCCAGTTGAAAAGATTCAACCGTTCTATTCTACAGCAATATTCTATAACCTAGCGAGAGATCAAAATAAAGACAATTTTGAAGATGAATTGCTAAACGAAGACATTAGTGAATTTTCCGGAATTGAAGATGTTTGAGCTAACCTTATATAATATTTTAGTATTATGGAGAAGCCTCAGAAGAATCGTTAGTATACATGTATTATTTTTTTTATTCGTTATTAAATTGTTCTTTACATAAGTTAATTTATTCCTGCTACAACAAATTGTATAATTAAAAGAGATATTAACACATTAGTGGGATTTCTTTGATAAATAATAAAATATTTGTGTGTTCGGAAATAAATTTTACGTTTATCTAACAAATAAGTAACCGCAAGATAATTTGACGTGAAAAGACGAGTACATTTTATTAATTAATAAATGTATATCTTCCAGATAGCTATCTGTCAGATAGGACAATATTTATGTAAGAAGTTTATTATTTTAAAAATTTTATTTTTAACTCTTTTGCTAGTTTGTTGATCCTAAAAAAATGTTGGCTAGGAATTTAGTGATCAGTAAAAAATATAACACAAAACTCGAGCTTCCCCAACAAATGAATTGTCTAACTAGAATTACGCTGGTGACTGTACGTAGATCCATTTCATAAGACGACTTTCCGCAAAAGTTCAGCAATTCTACAAAAGTAACTTATTTGTTATAAAAGTTGTACAACTGACTTGAATATTATTTTGTTTACGTTCTAGCCTTAAATAGGAAGAAGTCAGAAAACATTGAGTTGAGTAACTGTAGGTGGCAATTGTTTGGATCTCTCGTTGCATGGTGACGTGCAAAATCGCTAGTCCTATATAAAAGTTTAATAATGGTATACATAGTCGCCTACAAAGAAACGTCAGAAATAAAAAAAAATAAATTCAATACTTACTTTCACATATAATTTCTTTTCCCTTGAATTAAGCGGCAACACTGTCTCCCTATTATTTTTAGCACGCCTTAAATCTATTTTAAAAAAGTCTTCGGTTATGAATTTATTGTCAAAACTGTCACTTGTCAAAAATCGGTACCTATATACAATAACCCTAAAAATATTTTAAATGTTAAAGAAAACAAAATCGGAAGTTACAGAATTATCTAAACTACATTTATTTTACAAATTCCCAACTGTCAACAAATGCACGTGAAAGTCAAACAGGGTCGTACTGGGGTGTATCATATGATTTTTAAAATATTTACTTTTAAAACTATTAGTGTAAGAATTTCTTGAAATTTCATCATTGTGAGCAGAATTTAATATTCCATTGAAGAAAAATGTGCTAAAATAAAATATTCATTAACTGAGAGATACATAACAAAGTGAATAATTTTAATAAAGTAGCATTGTCATAAGTTTATCAAAGCATAAAACCATTTAAATTACTCACAGTCTGAGGAGCTACATGTGCTGCTGTTTTCGTCTTGATTTATTACTATGGTTTCGATATGGTTCTCTATTATATTGTTCAACTTCCACATTTTGGACTCAACGTTTTGTTGAACGTGTTGCACACATTTCTGCCACGTAGTTGGACTAATATTATTTATTGCACCATAAAAAATATTTTTCATATCTGCAAATTTAAAATTGTTTTTGGCTGCTAAATAATTTTTTACTTCTGCCAAGATGAGCTCAATCGGATTGAGCTCACAATGGTATGAGGGCAACCTTAACACTACTTTGTTTTGGCTTTTTGCCATCTTATTAATGATATATTTATTATATTTTCCCTTATGTTTCTTAATGATAGCCAGCAGTGACACTTTTAACATGGAGTCCTCAAACCTTATATTTTTGGATTTCATCCAAGCTTCAATGTCAGCTTTTCTAGAAGCAGCAGTTGGAATTTTTTACAATTTTCTGGAATGATAAGATGCGTTGTCCAATACGATTATAGAGTTGTCTTCTAATCGGGACGAGAATAAATGATGTTATTGAAAGAAATTTAAAAGAAAGTGAAGACGAGGATAAAGGAAGTGAACACATTGATAGTAGTGAGAATTTACCATGCACAGTATATGTAATTACTTGATTTCACTGAAATAGATGTTGGGGTAAAAGCAGAACTACATGGTGAATATTTTGATAAAGGTCCTTTAAATTTTTATAAGTTATTTCTTACTGATGAGGTATCCTTATATTATTGGGCAAAGGGTATATTTGCTGGCAAATATAATTTGAACTAAAGAAATGATTGCAAGCATTTCCTCAATACCTCTTAGGTAATCTATAGTTTGCAGGAAGTTGAACAAACTGTAATTAAGCTACTAATCTATATGTTTCTCAATTATACAAGGTGAAACTATACAAATTCAGGTAATTAAGATTAATGTGAGCTTACAAGTTAATGGCCTAGTAATAAGTCAGTGTATAGATATTAAAAATTGAATTGAATATTAAATATAGATTCATAAATACATTTTTACATGCAAGTTAAGTACAAACAAGTAGTAGTGACTATAACAGTGCTGGAACATAAAGAAATAAAATGTTAATCAAATAAATGATACTTGCCCATTTTGTGTTAGTATTTATCAGTGCTATGATACATATTTAATGATGAAGATTCAACAATATTTATTTACAATGACTGTTTTTAAATTAAAAAATTAACTTAATAGTGGTTTATCATTATTTTATTTAATAAACGACATTACATCCCAATACATGCCGGTTTTGACATTTGACAAAAAACAACTATAACAATCTAATTTCATTCAAAATTTATTTTAGGAAGAGATAAAAATAATAAAAATAGGGCCACGTTAGGTGTATTCTCAACAGTATCTACCACACCTGTCCTAACATTATTTGTTACTCCCTCGTACATCTCTTTCACAATTCTCCAGTTCTCGTCCATCTCTCCATGGTAGTTCCTACTTTTTTTTATTCAAACACCCACAGCCCTTCAGAAACAAACCCATCTTCACTGCCAACGTGACAGATTATTAGACTTTTTCCTTTTCCTGAAAATTTTATTATTTTAAAATTTACTTGAAGTTTTTAAGGACAAACATTTACCTACAGGATAATTTAGCTATGTATATGCCAAATTTCATGTCAATTCAAGCGGTTTTTTAATATTTACAACAACTGAAACTGTTGGACTGAAAAGGAAATAAAACTTTTCGAAACATCAATAAATTAAAATATTGGTTTCTCTTACCTTTATTAATGCGATTAACGCAAGCTATTTTTACTTTTGATTAACAAATACTTTGTTTTTGGATACTAAAAGTTCACTACACGGTAAAAACGTAATACTAAATACATAAACTTAACTAAAAAATAACATGACCAGTAAATAACTTAATAATAACTATACCATATAACACAATATAGTAACTTAAAAACCAATACGCTAAAAATACAATTTGAATTTAGACAGACTGGCAAATTTGGACCTGTAAAATTAGAATCCGTCTGGCTTAAGGCAATAAATTATACTTAATAGCCTCTTGACGAATGAGAGGTCGAATATGGGAACACGTACGTTTGTTTACACTTGGGAATTTGTTGAACGAATATACCATAATAGCAAGAAAAACAAAAAACTATTAAGTTTCAAAAAAGAGAAGATTAAAGTACGGGAGAAACGTCAAGCAAAAAAACAGCGTTTCTACATTATGAGTACTTACTTAACAATCATAAAAATAAAAAACAACGATGCTGTAGACGTAAAAACCTGAAAGGCTGCAGCCACAGTTTTCGTCCTATCTTTAATTTCTTGCACGATCGCCTTAGATATTTCTGTTATACTTTTTGAAGACTTCGTTTCGAAACTGAAGGAATGTGAAAATTTGATCCTAACGTAAAACATGGTGCGTATGTGTCGAACAAATCCTTTTATTTCTAAAATAAAATATAATATTTGAGACCAAAAAATTTAAAAGATCCTTAACACAGTTCTACAACACAGTTCTCTAACAACAGTCTTTGTTGCATGAGTCGAAATAACATGATAGCTTTGGATTGCTAGAGAAGAATGTATTTAAGCTGAATTTTAAAAATGGTGTAAGTATAAATAAATAAACATTTATTTACATATGAGGTCCATAAACTTTCTGTATACTCTGTACATTTACAAACTATTTCTTAAATACTTACTTCTTATAACTACGCCAATGATGGAATCTTTAATAAAATCAACAATGATGCAAACATAGTCAAAAATCTTCACCACGTAACAAACTGCCTTAACAATGTAAGTAACTGAGCACATCCAACTGAAAAATGATCCCAATGTGGCGTTACAGTCTGCTATGGCATTGTCGAAGACTCTGCTACATCGTTCAAACGGAGTGCCTAGTTCTTTGTTGCAGATATTGATGATTTTTGCCAAAAACATGAACGCAGATTTAATAACTCGGACTGAAATATAATACAGAAACATTTTAACAGCTCTCGCTTTTAAAAAATTACAATATATATAATATAGAGAGTAGTAAAAAATAAGTTATATCCTCTTGATTCAAACGTAGGTTTATGTTTAGAATAAACCATAAAAGTGACCCAAAAGTGGGTTCATCTCGACGTTTCGCTACAATTGTATGTAGCTTCTTCAGGAGAACAAAGAAAAAGAAAAAGAAAAAGAAGACAGGAAGATGGGTAGTTAGCAACGGTAACTCAGTTACTCAACGCAACCAGAAGCGAATACTAACTACCAAGATGGGCATTTGGTCACAGTAACTCAACTACTCAACGCAGCCAGAGGTGAAAGCCAAATGCCAGGACAGGGATTCACGTCCAACAGCTCAGAACACTAACGCGTCGAGAGGCGGGGAGTGAATCCGACGATTACTCCGCTACCGCTCTATTTGTAGTCGCGGTGACCTGCCGTGTCGGGACGTATCGGCACACTCCGTGGCGCGAACATCAAGAAGCGCACAAGGGTGTTTTACAGATGGCCATCTGCAAAAAAACCCTTGTCGCCAACGGTTACTCCAAGTCCACAATTCAAAATATTACACACCGACATCTACATCCCCCTTTACACCCTAGGACGACAAATTCAGAATCTTCGGGTAATACTCCTGTGGCTTTTCTTCCGTATATTCGAAGTGTCACTGATAGGATTGGCAAAATTCTTCGCAAAGAAGGTATCAGGACTACTTTTCGACCACCCAAGACAAACTCACAATATCTACCCTCTCCTAAGGACCCATTACCGCCGCTATCTTCCTGTTGTGTCTATTCTATTCCTTGTTCATTTGGACATGTGTATATTGACGAAACTGGTCGTTCCGTCAAAACTCGGATTCAAGACCATCAAAGATGCATTCGATCAGGTCTTTTCTCCCATTCTGCAGTTGCAGAACACTGCCAAGAAACCGGTCATTCCATATTGTTCGAAAAAATCCATATTATTTCTAAGAGCCCCTTCTTTTATTCCAGGAAAATCCGCGAATCTCTATCTCTCTATCTCTATCTAATCCGAAAAAATCCACATAATATCAATCGAGAGGAAGGATACTACTTGTCTCCCATCTGGAATCTCAGTCTAGAGCCGCCGTCCGGTCCCGCTACCACGATGCAGCCACATGATTGGCCAGCGCGCGCTTCTTGACGTTCGCGCCACGGAGTGTGCCGATACGTCCCGACACGGCAGGTCACCGCGACTACAAATAGAGCGGTAGCGGAGTAATCGTCGGTGTTTACTAACTGAGTGTCGACTAGCTGGCCTGGTGTTAAAAGTGGTACTTGGGTCACGAACTGACTCCTGTGAAATTCCATATAGTTACTAATTTGTAATTAGTAACTTGAGGAAAAGTTAATAGGAAGTCAAATTAGTATCCATATAAAACTCAGTGGTATACAAGGAAGTGCATCGGGGGACCGACAGCTCATTTTATTGTAAGTCTAGTCCGGCGACCCGCCATCCTATACATTGCACAGCGTATAGGAAAAAGGGTGTCTTCTGGGTGTACGCCTAGCCAACCACTGCTGAAATGCCGCGCTCGACCCGCTCAAATAGGTCAAAGCCGCGTCCTGCCGAACCACCTGATCCTCCTCCCGCACACAACAATTCGATTACATCAAATACCAGCAATGACTTAACACACGCTATCACACCTGACTTTCCACCATTACCTCAAAAACCACTTTCACCGATCCCTATCTCACCTAATCAATACATACTACCGTCTCCTCTTACCTACAATATCCCTACACTTCACATTCCTGAAACCAACGTCACCACTCCGAAGATGAACGTCGCCACCGACAGTTTCGTCGAGGACCTGGTGACTACATTACCCATCGACCAAATCGACCGGTTGATCGCGCGTCTGCAGCTGTCCCGGTCTTCACTTATCGCCAATCCTTCTACATCAACAAATACCCTAGCACACCAACACCAACAAACATCCACCACACATACCACCAATATACTAACTACACCTACACCACAACCTACACCACAACCTACACCTCAAATTAGTATACATACAAACACATCCATCCCTCAACAAATCCCTTCCTACGCTACTGCAGCGCACTCTCCGAAACCACAACTTCCTCAAACAACTTCCCAACAACCCAAACATTTTAACTATCTCATTTCCAATATCCCTCTGGAAAAATCCACACAACGTGATTTTTTCAGAATCATAAATACCAGAGAATTACTCCTTAACCAAATCACCACTATAAAAGTTCTACCCACCGGTACCGCACACCTTACCACACCTCACCCGATAAATCATGTCGATGTCCAACGGCGACTCCGTGATGCTGTCGGGGATCCTAAAATCCAAATCTCTCCGAAGCACAATTCGAACCCATCAACCTCAAAAAATCCCACTACCCGTACCCACAATCCTGGTTATATGGTGGTCGTCAAAGGAGTTGACAGAATATACTCTGACGCCGAACTAACCATCCTTTTCACTAATTTAAACATCCCTGTCATACGTCTCTGGCGCATCATCTCCAGAGAGAATAAACCCACCACCTATGTAAAATTAATCACCTCAAGTGAATCCAAATACACGGAGATGCTCGCCAGGGGCGTGTACTTTGACGGCCTCCGTATGACTGTGGAACTACCCTTTAATTCCAATCCTGTTCCTCCTGTACCAAGTATTGCGCCAAATGCAGTGCTAACGGGCATACCATTGCGGAGTGCCCGCAAAAACAGTATAGGTGCCCTACTTGTGGTCAAGACCACAAATCCTCTTCCTGCCCTACCCCACAAGCCCCTAAATGCCCTAAACTGTGGTGGTGAGCATGCGGCCTATTCGGCCAAATGCCCACTCAGAAGGGAAATTCCTAAAACCCGCAAGAAACACAACCCATAACTACAGATAAACGTGACCCACCTTACGAACTGTCTTCAGACATGAAGGCAGTGATGGAATTCACTTCCCTCATCCTTATTAACCTCCTTCCAGATAGGCGTCAGCTTATCCTGGATATTACAAACCGCATCTCCACTCTGATGTTCGGTCACAAGAGTACTCTTGTGGCTCATAACAACAGAGCTTCCATCTCCTTCCTGTCCCTCTAATGGACAGTTCAATAGGTGCTGTTAACTGCCAGGGTGTTCGGAATAGGCGACCCCTTATTAAACATATCCTTCAACATCATAATATCCAAATCCTAGCCCTCACCGACACCCTCTCAAAAACTGATCCAATTTTCCCCGGTTACTGCACGGTACACCGTCCTAAATGCCAAATATCTCGCGGTATTGGCTTCCTTATTAAATATGGTATCCCTTTTCCCCTCATGTTACACCTATGCACCTTAACCTCAATGATGTTGACTTCCTGGCAGTGGACATCCACCTAGACAATAACACGACAATTACAATGGTCTCTTATTACAAACATCCTCATCAGGACATGTCCGAGATTTTGTTCGATTATATCTCCAGCCTCAATAAGGCTATTATTCTCGGCGATTTTAACGCCAGACACGTTCAATTTGGCGACATCGCCACAAATAACGCAGGTAACGACTTCTCGGATATGCTCATTAATCTCCCTATTCATCGTATCCGTAATCGTGCGCCGACTTTTGTGGGTCACCAGGGCATGTCGATAGTCGATCATATTGTATGTACGTATGATGTGATCGATCTGTTAGATGACGAATGCTTTCTCGGTGACTCCATCACGTCGGATCACTTACCTCTACTGGTTAAAGAACAGATATTTACACCCACCCCTCTGCTCCACCCAAAGTAATAAGAGACTATAGGCACGCTGACTGGGACCGATACAGAGCCTTTCTGTCAAATAACATTCCAGAGTTAGGCAACTTAGCACACACAGATGATATCGATTTAGGTATCACGGCCATCTCAAATCTGATAAATCAAGCAATTGATATATCAGTCCCTAATAAGGTTATCAACCCTAATAGGCCTCCTCTACCGCAATACATAATCAATAATATCAAACACAAGAGACGACTCCTACGTCAGTTTCAACGCACTCGAAACCCCCTCATCAAAGCAGAATATAACCGCATGTCAGCGGTGATCAAACTACAGGTGAAAGAGATGCAAGTCAGACAATGGCGGGCAGCCACCTCTAGTCTTGATTACCGTGACGGTGGTAAGTTCTGGCATAAATTCAAGTGCCTAACTAAACAAAAAAACCAATAATCCATCTCACATTATTGTGAACAATCAAATCATTAATACACATCAACAAAAGGCCGAAGCCTTTAAATACCATTTACAAAACACTTTAATCACACCTAATAATCCTAGATTTGACCACGCCTTCCTGACTAAGACTGAAAGAGATGTAAACAGACTACTCGGCGCCCCTTTCGATCCTCAGGTGCCGCATGACCATCCCATCATGGCACCGGTGGATCAACAAACTTTCAAAAATTTTTGTCATATCGGCAAATCGAATTCACCGGGTCCTGACAACATTGCCAGGAGCTGCGTGAAACAATTTCCTCCGAGTGTCTACCTCTATTTAACAAATATCGTCAATGCCACTCTCAAACTCTGCTATTTCCCATCTCAATGGAAAGTAGCAAATACAATTATGCTCCTTAAAAAGGGCAAACCCCGCACAGATCCTAACTCTTATCGGCCGATTTCACTTACAAATGTTTTAGCAAAAGTCTTTGAGAGGATCCTAAAAGAAAGACTCATTGACTTCACCAACGAACACAACATCATTCCCTCTTTTCAATTCGGCTTTAGAGAAGGGTGCTCTACTAATACGGCATTGACTGAGATTGTCACACACATTACTCAAAGTCTGAACGACAGCAAACTCGCATTAGGTATTTTCCTCGATGTTCAAAAAGCCTTCGATCAAGTCTGGCATGTGGGACTGATCAAGAAACTATTGAACATTGGACTACCAATTCCTTTCGTCAGACTAATCCAATCATACGTCTCT